TATATATATATAATAATAACAAGCATTTCTATCACATCAAAACATTAGTTGTTCATATCAAACTGACTTTCACTGATGTGTTGAGCAAAATTTAACACTTAATATGAAAAGTTACAAGATAACTCTAGCCAATATACTGTACCTAATTGATTTTTACAAGTACTCATACTCATACAAAATGCCCCGATGCTTAATGGTCTGAACTTATATAGGGGTTTATCAAGCCCAAAGTCCCCAAAACGCTTTACTACAATCATTCACACACTGATGGTGGTAAGCTACATTGCAGCCACAGCTGCCCTGGGACACACTGACAGAGGCAGAGCTGCCATGCAGCGGCACCACCGGACCCTCTGAACACCATCAGTAGGCAAGCCAGGTGAAGTGTCTTGCCCAAGGACAACACAGCTGAGACAGCTGGAAAGGGGGATCGAACCGGCAACCCTCCGGCTGCAGGACGACTTCCCTTCACCATTCGGCCACATCTGCCCCGATACATCACTGATGACATCACAAAGGTTGAAAGCCAAGATCTTGCTATTTTTTTCAGGGTGACCAGCTGAAAGAAATCGATGTTAATTCGTGTTCGTTACCAAGATGTGTGCGAAACCGTGCAGAGAATGTAAACGCATTGAGAGAGTCTTAAAGTACGGCCATACAAAACCAGAGCTCTGCTGATGTCCAGTTTAATGATACCAGGGAAATCAGACCGAATCAGGAATAAATAAAAGAGTATTTAACATTAGCTTCAGGGCAGGACTCCCGCCTATTGATTAGATCATCAGTGAAGGGGGGCCCTGTCTTTGGCAGAGTCCTGCCCTCTCACAAAGAAATCTACCCTAATGATTAAAAGTTCAAATGTGTTGTATTTGTTATCAGGCATGTTTCTATTAATATAGAATCATCAAGTTAATCAAAAGTCACATTTAACAGTCATTACAGTTCTATCATAAAACAAGGCATACTATGTGTAATGTAATTAAACCAGTAACATAAACCCCATTAATTCCTTCTGTTGTTATCATGGCAACTCAGTAGTTTAAATTTTAAAATCTTAGTGATGCCATCCTGTCAGAGACAAGCAGCCTAACTGGCCTAAATCTTGGTTTAATTTGTACTGTATTTGCATTATAACTAAACAAAATGCACTTACAGTTTCACAAGCAAAAACCTTGTCAAATAAATCACAAGACATGATTTTGACAAACATTTACCTGCCTGCCAACAGTTGCTGGTGTAATTACCCCTTTGGTGGAGGTAAAAAAAAAAAATTGATGTTTTTTTTATATTAATGATGTTAAAAATACAGGGATATAAAATTTTGGTCTTATTTCCCAGCACTAATAGGAACTACTGCTGAGATGTAAGTAGGTTCCATCAGGTGTATATTGCTTTGCCTTCAGTGCTTTTGTGATGAGGTTCTTTTGTTAGCATCAATAGTTTGAGCAGTGGTTTGCATTGTTGGGTTGGTCTTTAACAAACGTGTTTATACCCAAATTAGCTCTTCTTTTGGCCAGGTTTTGTTCCTGGGTTCTGCTATACCACAGCAGAGACGGACAGACTTTAAGTTCTTTTGTATCCTATCTTAAATCCATACACCTCAAGTTGTACAGATCGTAAATTACATCAATCTCCCCCCATTTTGCATGTATATAGGTGTTTTTTTAACTCAGCTCCAAAAGCCTATTAGGAAATGTTAAGTCTTTCTCTTCACTAGACTGTACCCCCCTGTTGTATCGTGTGGGAGTACTATGGATTTTTCTTAAAATCTATGGATTTCTGCAGGTAAATATCAGAAGGGGTTGACATAATATATGTATCATACTGAGGAACCAGAAATTCATCAGACACATACAGCATAATAAATAAATAAAATAAAGGTACTTTGATAAAGGTGACTTTGATACCACATCGCATGTGAACAATAAAACAACTGATTACGACACATAAGATAATTTCTATCAGTAAATAACTTGGGACTTATGCATCAACTTCACTGACATTTTAAAGAAGTTGTTCCAGAGTTGTCCTACAGAGCAGACACTCACCTGTTTGGGCCGAGTAGGTCTCACCTCTTCCACCTTGTTGGTCTTCATCTTGGTCTTCATTTCCTGTCTGTGTTGGCGCACAGCGCTCTCTTTGGGTCCCAGCCAGGTGGTCTCTTTGGTGGGCCTTCGGATGGTGGGGATCTCGCTCACATCCAGTTCGGGCTGCAGCTCCACAGCCTCGCCTGTGATGAAAGATGTCAAAATATTAAGTTGCCAATTGATCACACGACATTTTGATCATTACAGTTTATTCTGGTATTAAGAGGTGAATTTATTCAAGTAGGTCACCGCATCAGATTTTTTTTTGAATTATCACTTTTAACTCTGGGTTTAGAACTCTTCTACAGATGGTTTTACTATTGTTTATCCGGCCTTATTAGTGGTTTTATTCTTTGTAGAAACTAAGTTTTGGTCTACATTTTGCCTCCGTTTGAATTTTTCTGCATCTGGGTCTTTGATCCTCTATTGACCCTGTTTTCATCAAACCAAATTTAAATAAGATGCTTGCACACGTTGTTACCAGTAGCCTGTTGCAAAAAATACCATGTTTTACCTTTTATATTTGAAACTATGAGAGATACAAAAGAAAATGTGTTTTTACCAGCAGAAAATTGGATTTTTTGACAGAAGTGTTAGCTTGCAAACTTGTATCTCCAGTTAGCTTTGTCGTCTTAAAATGAAACTGGCAGTAAGAACTGAACTACTATTAGAGTAGGGCTGTCAAACTCAGCTATGCCCTGGTCCACACAGCGAGATTTTAAAATTGTTGGCTGATTTTTTTAAAATCTGAGAGACCCCACACATGACAATAAAATATCCTGGATATAACTGGTTTGGTCCTACAGTGTGTGGTGTACAGAGACACAGGCCAAAGACAACACACAAACAGATTTCACTCACAAACATTCAGATGTCTGACGAGAAATCTTATGAAATCTCTCCAGATCAAATTTTAGTACAGAGTAAACATGGCTGAGTATGAAAATGCAATGGTGATAGTAACAAACAATAAGATGTTTCTGACATCCAGTGGACTTCCTGGTATACACCAGAAAGTCCAGTGGATGTCAGAAACGTCTTATGGCAGTTGTTTTGTCTTCTGTAGTTTGGATTCCCCTCCATGTTTCTGTCACCTCGCTTTCTGATTGGCTACATGTCACCTTCAACAGGCTCAGGCTGTGTGCCCATTTGTTCTCGAGGAACACCACACACACCTGGGTTATTGGGCCAAGACAATCAATCCATCCATTATCTATACTCACTTTTTTCCTTTCAGGGTCGCTTGGGTCACTGGTGCCCATATACAGCAGTCAGAGTGCGAGGGGCGGGGTACACCCTGGACAGGTCACAAGTCCATCACAGGGACACACACAGAGACAAACGAGACAACCATTCACTCTCTCACTCACACCTAGGGACAATTTAGAGTTACCAATTAACCTAACATTCATGTTTTTGGTCTGTGGGAGGAAGCCAGATTGCCTGGAGAAAACCCACACATGCACAGAGAGAACATGCAAACTCTACCCAGAAAGGTCTCCGGGTCGGGATTTGAACCGGTGACGACCTTGCTYAGAGGCATCAGCTCTACCAACCACTGATTTGAGATCGGAGTGGTCCCAATGCTCCAGTGACCCGATCAAGGATAAACGGAAAAAATGGATGGATGAAAGGATGGATGTATAGCCATAAATGATAAACATTGACAGCATAAATATACTCATATATTTTATTATAACTAGGATTTGGAGAAGGTGTAGTCTATCTTTGGTGAATTATTTTGAAAATATGGATGTTATGCTGACACCGCACTTGATCCAGCATCCGTCGAGAATACTCAGGTTGAATTTGGGACGAATGTAATGTAAATGCTCTCATTGATGATAAAGGTTTTGATTTTACTGCTATTTCACATTTAAAGTATTACCATTGGGGGTCGATAAAATGTTAACGAAGGCCAGATTTGGCCCATGGGCCTTAACTTTGATGTGTTTTAGAGCTGAAGTAAACCCTCTTTACCAAGTTCAGTTTCAGTTTTCAGTCCCTCAGGGTTCCACTTGGCTTGGACCCCTGCTAAATGACTTCAAACATTTCAAGTACTTTGTCTTGTCTTGTCAAACATGAATTTAATCAGGAAGAAAAAAGAATACTCAGACAGATGGGGCAAAAAAAGCAAGGGGCTACCAGGTCCAGCAGAACTTGTTGTTTCTGACAACAGTGCATAGTTTGGAGTTAACAGAGAGGGAGTGGAATGGGAGGGGGGGTGTCACTCCAAAGCAGCTGATTTTTAGATTAAAAAAATATGACATAAATTCTTTACATAGCTCATCTCAGCTCAAGTTTACTAGCATGAAATAAGTTTTTTAAAGCAACCGTGCCAGAACACCAATTATTTTTTTGCTGAATCTTTGAAAGCAGCTAATTCCTTAAAGAAGGTCAAATACTTGGCCATTAAGTGGGTAGTTCAAAGTTATGCAGGCCATGCTGTGACATGCAGGCTTGTGGAAGGCGAATGAAAGCAAGCAAGGGTTTTTAGCAGAAACAGTAGACCAAGGAGACAACCTCGGAGGTAGATTTGAACGTCTACGGGAGAACAGGGGAGAGGAAATTCCAAACGGAACAAAAACAAGGTGCTGGCGCCCTTTTGTCATCAGATTGATCTGATGTTGTTGAACTTGAGTTCTCTCTATGACGCTCCACAGTACTCTCTCTCTCTCTCTCTCCCTCTCTCTGTCTGGGATTCCTCGAAGACAGTTTCTTTGGAAAAAATAAAAAAGGGATGGGTGGGGGTGGGGGGTAAAAGTCAACTGGAATCAGGCGTGTCCTTGCACATGTATGCACAAGTTGAGCAGATAAACACTCAGCACATTTAAGCCAAGGAGCCTTTGCTGTCTTATCCCCACAAGTGCAAAACCATCACTTTGTCTTTTTCTGATGAAACCAAGAATATTTGGTCAAACACAATATCCGATACTGAATGTACCCACATACTAATCCCCACTCCCCATCCTTAGTGGGTGCACCAGGCCTCTGCAGAACAAGCTGCTGCACAGCAGAGGGCTAAAGATCAGCAGAGTCAACAGGGCAGTGCCTACTGTCCAGTCGGCTGCTTGACTTAATCTGGGCACAATGGCCCGAGAAGCTTCCCCTTTCTATATCTGATCCATGTCGAATTCCCAGGTGACGTGTAGGACAGAGGTGGCATGGCTGATTGTTCTGATTCTGGTCAACTGAGCAGATGGTGGAGGAGTGGAAACAAGAAAACTACGAACCATCTATTGTCCCTAAAGTATTGCATTGATGCTTTTCTTGATTCTGTTGTTTGAAGGGGTCCTACAGAGACCAGGCAGGAGTAGAAAAAAAGAGGTTCAGCCTGTTTAGCATCATTCCACCAGTGAACAAGCCACAGAACATTATTTAGGTTCTGTGAAGTTGGGCAGATTTTCACTCCCTGATTCAATAACATTTAAATCACAAACTGCAGTACAAATGGTAAATTTTATATTGTTCCCAAGACTGTTTTTTTTTCTACCTGGAAAACATCACTAAAATAAGGAACATTTTGACGCAAACTGATCCACGCATTTTTCACTTCTATGCTTGACTATTTTAAGTGGTTGTTGTCCCACATGTGGGACAAACCGGTGCAGTTTCTTCCATTAAACATTTCCAGACACTACAAGGGGTTTTTATTTTGAAAACCAGGATGACAAGTTCTCTGGTTCTTACCTTTAGCCTGACACCCTTTTTAGCCAAGTGGGCTGGTCTATGGCTTCAATACAGCCATTTGGCGAACCCCACATGTCCCACAGGTCGGACAGTCGATTTGATTGGGTGCAGGATCGAAAAACCTAAATGGATTTTTGTTGTGACACCACAGACGTAGCCAATCAAATTCCAGCGAGTTTGATATGTTAATGTCAAAGATTCAATGGTTTTACATTTGAAAAAACAGATCTTTCTGGATGTTCTCTCCGGGTACTCCGGCTTCCTCCCACAGACCTAAAACATGACTGTTAGGTTAATTGATAACTCTAAATTGTCCCTAGGTGTGAGTGAGAGAGTGAATGGTTGTTTGTCTCGTTTGTCTCTATGTGTGTCCCTGTTATGGACTTGCGACCTGTCCAGGGTGTACCCCGCCCCTCGCACTGTGACTGCTGGATATGGGCACCAGTGACCCACGCGACCCTGAAAAGGAAGAAGCGTGTACAGAAAATGGATGGATGGATGGATCTTTCTGGATTTCTCTGACAGTTTTTACCAGTTGGGCCCCTAGTGGTGAAAAGAAGAAAACAAGTAAAACACATTATTTATTTATTTATTTTTAAGCCAAAACCTTTTGAATAAAAAGGTGGCCGGTGAGTGAAATACTGTATGTCTTATAAAGACTCTTGAGTGCTTCAAATAAAAAAAATGTGATTTTGGTGACAAGATACAGTATACAMATACATACATACATACATACATACATACATACATACATACATACATACATATATACATACATACATACATACATACATACATACATACATACATACATACATATATACATACATACATACATACATACATACATACATACATACATACAGGGATTGGACAATGAAACTGAAACACCTGGTTTTAGACCACAATAATTTATTATTAGTATGGTGTAGGGCCTCCTTTTGTGGCCAATACAGCGTCAATTTGTCTTGTGAATGACATATACAAGTCCTGCACAGTGGTCAGAGAGATTTTAACTCATTTTTTTTGCAGATTAGTGGCCAGGTCACTACATGATGCTGGGAAAACATTTCCTGACTTGCTCCTCCCAAACACCCCAAAGTGGCTCAATAATATTTGGATCTAGTGACTGTGCAGGCCATGGGAGATGTTCAACTTCACTTTCATGTTCATCAAACCAATCCTTAACCAGTCTTGCTGTGTGTATTGGTGCATTATCATCCTGATACAAGGCACCGTCTTCATGATACAATGTTTGAACATTTAAAGGCACATGGTCCTCCAGAATGGTTCGGTGGTCCCTGGCAGTGACGTGCCCATCTAGCACAAGTATCGGGCCAAGGGAATGCCTTGATATGGTAGCCCAAACCATCACTGATCCACCCCCGTGCTTCACTCTGGGCATGCAACAGTCTTGGTGGTATGCTTCTTTGGGGCTTCTCCACACCGTAAC